TACCAATTTACAAATAAAACAAATTAAAATATATTTTTAAAAATTTTAATCATGAACAAATATGTTTAATTAAATATTTGAATACTTGTTGTAATAAATACTGTTTAATTATTCTAATATTTAAAGAGATGTTTCAATAAATGAAATAATAGAGATTTATTCAAACTGGATTCCACACACTTCTGGAGTTTGTATATGTTCAGGATGTCTAATAATAGGTATTTATATTCCTTAATATGTTCATAGAATCAGAATGAGTTTCCTTACAGAAACTATTCTCATAGTTTCTGGATACAAATTCACTGAGTTCAGCGTTAATAAAGTTCCTTTAGTATTAACACAAGCACTTTCGGCAAGTGTATAACCGTCATCTTCAGGTGAAAAGAACAAATTTTAACGAAACAAATGTGCAGGATGTTCCAAAGGAACAGAATATTTAAATTCTAACCAGGTGTCTGGAAATTCCGTTAAGAATGTCTTCGGTACTACCTGTTTTTTCCTGCACAGGTAGTACCAAAGAAAATATTTTTGGTAGTTTATCATGCTTGAATGAGGTGATAATTAAATATACTTTTTTCAAGCTAAATTTTTATGATTTCTTTTATAAGTGTGACTACCACTTACAAAGTTAAGCAAAGTGCCATTTACAAAGTATTGTAATAAAATTTCTAAGTACAAGGCATACACTCTAGTTTCTAATAGGTAAAAAATATTTTGATTTCCTTGTTCTAGACTAGAATTAGAATTAAAATTCCTGTATCATTTTTCAACAATACATTACTATATTCATGAGAATAAAGCAATAAATGATACCATAAGAAACAAGTAATTTATTTTTTAAACTTTTATTATATGTCTTCATTAATAATTCCTAAACAATAGTGAAAAACATTTTTGTTTAAATTTTAGAACCATATTTAGCTCTTTTTCTGAAAATTAATTATATTATTCTAATAATCCTTTTCACATAGATGAAAATATCTGCTTTGCAAATTTCCTAGTGGTTGATCTTCCCACTTAGAAAAAAAACAGCAAGCTTCTAAATACTTCAAAACATCAAATACCTGTAATATATAGAGATTTACTGTATTTATTAAACTCTTATAAATAGATTTAAGTTAATTACTACAATATTATACAGTACTAAATAATACTTTGTTATAACTCATACTACATGTACTTCATTTATAAAATTATAACAACAGAAATTAATTTATTTTAATTATTTAATAAAACAAAAGTCATTATTTAAAACATTTTTTTTATGATGAAATATTTTCATTCTTTATTCATTATGATTTTAAATATTTTATAAACCAAATGTATCAATTACCTCAATTTTCTCCATTTAGTAATGCAATATCTCTCCTTTATATATATATATATATATTTTTTTTTTCTCCTTAATTTTCAATAATCGGTGGAATTCTTTACATCTAGAAAAAAATTTAAGAATATAATGTAAGTGCCACATAATCATCATATAAAACTCTTAGTAAAAAATCAAATTATGAATATTACGTCCATATATACTTACTTACTGGATAAAGTATTTCGTACAAGTCACAAAAGCAATTCCATGATCTTCCTCCATTTTGAATTTACATCGTTTTTACTCATGCAATATAGAAATAATCAAAATGTATCCTGTCACATGTGTCAAGTCTTCGATTTAAGACATTAAGAATTAGGCTGACCCGTTAAGTGAGCACATGCACATCCTTCTCAAGGTAACACAAACAGGTGTTAACGAATTGGCTTGAAGTATTGGGATGTTCTTTGGAGAACATCTCAATACTTGTGAAGATCTTAAATACGAGAATTGCTTCACAATTACTGGGGAAAAAAAATAGAAATTTTGATTTAAAAAATACTGCAAGCACGTAGGTACATTATATTTCATCCCTCTCTCTGCAACTAGATACCGACCAGAGGATGCAACTTACATTGCTGAACACCATGTCATTTCAGTTTATATACATTTAATGAATTATTCATAACAGCCTGCATGTATCTACGAAAATATCTTCTTGTTTAATATCAGGTATTACTGGACTTCGAACAATTAAACTGTTGATATATTTTGGATAAATCCTAGAAAACACCATGCCGACTCCAAATATATTGATGTATCCTTCAACACTGGAAATGGTGACAGTACAGTAAAAATATCTGGCAAGTAGTGTTAAAATAATAATCTGCGGTTTGTCTTTACCATACCATAGACGTCATAGAGTAAAAAAACCAGTCAGTTGGCCTTAATCCATGATCTGAAGCCTGTCAAGAAGAGACTATCCAAGAACGAAATGAATATTTTAAGGTAATATGTTGCTTTTTTTATTTTTATATGAAACGTTAATTTTAAGCTTGATACTTTCTACAGATTTTATAAAGTAATGACTTTTATTAATGATCCAAATTCCTTTTGTGCCGTAAAAGTAAGTCATACCTCAAGCAGGCTCACGGTGCTTGAAGAGAAAAGCCAGAAAAAGTAATAGTAGTGACTTTTCTGACAAAAGAAATGCCAAAATAGACGCACTTGTATTTGTTATTACAGTAGAATCTGCGTAAACCGGAATCGAACGAGACCGAATATTTTTTCCGGTTTGGCAGGTTTCCGTTTTGAACAGGTTTTACTGTATTCACCAGCTGTGATCGCTAAGATGAATATTTCTTTCCTTATGGCGAGTAAAACAAAAAGTTAATCATTTTAATAAATAATTATCCATGTTAAGAAACTATATTATTGAAACCACATACTTTGTTTTTTTTAACAAACTGTTGTGTCAGAAAGTTTATATTTGATAAGTTAAAGATGATGAGTTACAATTTTGCACTGGTTCTCTGAACAATGACGAACTGAAATTTGAAGTTCTTTTGTTGTTTTTCTTTTTTTTTTTTATTTCTTGCTGTATCAGCTGTTTCATCATAACACAGAGAAAAGTGTACATACATAATCCATTTCCTTCACCTGTTGCTACTTGAAGAATGGAACCCCTGCATCATGTATAACATATCTTGCTTTTGTCTGATTTAGTGAAAAAATCCACAGGCACAGCACAGGAAACAGGATACCAAAAAAATCTGCAATACCATCACATGCAACAGGATAGCTACTGCACACACATTTCAATAACCATAGTACTGTAGTTCTATAGCTGTACTCTGTAAACTCTCGCAAAGTTATTTATAAATATCGTAATACATTTTAACCCTTAAAAAATTTATTTGTAAACTTTTTTCAATAAAAAGCATTTCGTTTAAGATTCTTATTCTATTTGAAATAATTTGTTATAAATTATTTAAGTTGTACAACAATATTTACTAATAATTCCTTTTAAAAATATTTCATTTAACGATAAACTAACAATTTCAAATTAGCCGCTTCATCTTTCCATTGGGATCGAAGATAATCATCACCCAAATTTGATCCCCACTTCCCAGAGCAATAGGTGGTGCTTTAACCGCATCGGCCATTTTGTTCTCTTATCATCATCAAAATCATGGAAAGGAAAGAATATTTCCAAACTTGTTTGTAGATTTTCTTTTGCTCATCACTTTTTTAATTCACTGTGTTCAGAATTTGTTACTCTGAAAGTTGGCAACTTATCGGCATCAACTTTGCCAGTAGCCAGACAACAGTGTGTTGCTCTTCTACAACTGCCCAGGATTTTCTGAAAATTATAATAAATGTATTTTTTTAAATAGTGCAGTATTTCTGAATCAAAGTGAAAGAAATATGGCTGAGCAGGGTTTTGCCGCATCAATTCTTAAAGGGTCCCGACTGTCGTTTTAAGGACGACCAGTATAACTTATATTTTCAAACTTTACTTAAGTAATGTAGTACATATATGTGTCTTACATGCTTAAGACCCAAATATTTAAAAATATAGATAAACCACCGAATTTCTGGCACCTTTGGTTCCAAAGCCTTTCCAGATTAATCATTTTGCCAGACCAACCGGGATTATATATAATAATAATTCATCAAAACCAACCCACTGATTACAGTCGACCCCCCTATAACACGGTAGATACGTTCCTGTTTTTATGAATCCAGCTTCTAGGAGTCCAGCCAATCACAGCCCGGCACATATACAGTTTACAGAANTGTATAACGTGTATGTAATGTAATACATAAATACTGTACGCGTAGGTGTGTAATGCGTATCTAACGTATGAATACGTGTACGTTGTACGAATGTAAGTATAACACGCAATTAAAAGGATAAAAATTTCTGATTTTCGATAATGCGCTTCGAAAAAATTAAACGGCCAAACACAATGAATTTAAAGAGAATCTTATCTTATCTGGAAATTTATAAAACTACGACGTCACCAAGGTATATCTGATCGCACGTGTTTCCAACGATAAACCGCCCGTTCCAAATTACACACGCCGGTAGAGCATCTAACGGAATTCGTATCGTCGGAAGATAATTCATTAAAAGGGTCGTTGACCCGGAACGAACTCGACGACCCAATGTTTTTGGTCTAGAAGAAGCAAGGTTAATGGGAATCAAGCCACTGGAACTAGACCTACTGATCGCATCACATTTGACCTAGCAGAACTAGTTAGGGATGAAGTATTTATTACACCGCTACCAGGATAAAAAAAAAATTACCTAAACAAACCCATTTTCTGACATTATCGCAGTTTAAAACATAGACAACACAGAGTTTTATCTAGGGCCTCGCACACTGTGTTTAAAAATCCACTACTAAGATAGGATATTGCATTATATAAACTTATATAAAGAGGCCTCTCGAGAGGCTCCAGTAACACTTGAATTGGTAGAAAAGAAATTCTGAAATAAACGGCAAATATATTAAAGAAATAAAATGCTCTCTACTCATAAATAATTTATCCTTAAAAATGTCCAAAAAAAAAGTTAAAATACTAATTTAAATTCCAGAAAATCTACAAGTCAAAGTAATGAAATTAGTAAGATATGTTTATAAGAAAAGTGCATATATTCATATAAAATTGCATGACTTACCAGTAAAGAATATCATTGGCATCGTGTCTTTCGTACCTAACAGTTTTACAAAGTGCTCTCAATGATATCTCTCGAAGAGAAGATAAAGCTTCTAGACCGTGCAGATAAGAATATATAATTTGAAGATCCTGAAAAGAATAAAAATCGAGTTATCAGAGAAATGATCCGAATTTTCAATAAGTTTTATTGTGTTTACAATCACTGGAATGTAAAAACAAGGTTAATTAAAAATTAAACGGAAAGGAAATTCAAGTAACAAAAGAAGAAAATAATTTTTCGAATTAAATTATTTTGATTTTTAAAGAAATTTCTTTTACAGTTTATGAATTTCAAGGATAGAAATTTTTTTCTTTTTTAAATACTTAATAAAGGTCGACGTTAAGAAACCAGATCACAACCGGTCCTGGTTTTGTCAACTTTTCAATTCACAAACCTTGCATCGATCAAGGACAAATTTATTTATTTCTAGTATTTATGTAATATAAATTTTACTTATAAAAGTTATTTCAAGTGAGAAAATATTCTAGAAACCGTGATTTCAAATAAGACGATTATTTAATTTTTACAATGGTTAAATTATTTTTGGGCCACTCTGTACTCTCGGAATTTCATTACAGAGAAAATACGGAGTGGCCCAAAAATCAGCCATTGTAAAAATTAAATTGCTGTCTTATTATAATTTTGTATTCCCGCCGTGTTCAGTGAGAATGTAAGGTTATACGTCGAGATATATACAGGGTGGTCCAAAAGTCAGTCAACCCGTTCTGTTTCGAGTACAACTGTAATTACGAATCAAAATAATTTTTGGAACACCGTGGACACGAGATAAATAATCTGATTTAGTCTTTACAGTGGTTAACTGACTTATAGCCCACTGTAAATGTAGAACACGAAACATGTCCCGTTTTTCTGGTTGATTAGATAGGAATGATGATAACTTAATCGAATAAATATTTTTATTTTTTGCTTCCAGAAACAATAAATCTTCCATTATTCGGAAGTAGAAATGTTTATATTATGTGAAAAACGTGTACTTTCTCTACCAACTTCCTTTATCTATCATGGGAACTGGACAAGGAAGTGTACAGTACGTTGTAACAAACGCATATAATGCCATCCCTATCGCGTGCGACTGACCTACTTGTTCCTTTCAAATATCATTTATTGTCCTCTTACGATAACAACAAACGATACCATTGATTAATTTAAACAATGATTTTTTATATACAGAGAAAGAAAAGCTAATCATTATATCTATTATATAAATTCCAGTTATTATTCATTTCTATATTAAGGGAGACATTTCACACGGAACAATTGAATTTTTCCTACTGATAAAGGGATTTTTTTTTTAATTTCTTCCTTGAATTATTTACAGGAACGTTGAATAGAATTGTTAAATTTGTAGCTTAAACATGACGTATTAATCGAATGTTATACTATAGCTTTTATTCTATTTTACTGTTAATAAATTAGCAGGATGCAAGCAATTACAACCCTCGACACTTTGTGTTTAGATTCGATGCATTTATTAGAAAAGAACAGGACGAGCTCGATTAAATGTAATAACTACTAATATAAACATTAAAATATTTATTATCTGAGGAAAATATTCAGTTAATTCGTCAAAATTCCGTAGTATTTATGTACAAATAACAAGATTTTACCGTTTACAAGAGTTTTATGTACCATAGAGTTGCAGTTTTATAGCAATGAACCATCTCAAAAACATATTTTAATGAAGGAGAAGAATATAAAATATTCAATAAGAACGAACACCAGGAAGTTCATTGCCTATATAGATGGTAAACAAGATATATGAAGACCCAAAAGTCATTTAATCACTGTAAAAACTAAATTTTTATCACGTTTACACGTTGTTCTAAACTCTGTTTATAATTCATAAAAGGTGTGTGTAAACGAAACACGCAAAACATGGTGAACTGACTTTTGAACAACCCTTTATTATAATTACTGATTATTTAATGTATGAAACTTTGTTCTGTAATGACGTTCCACGTTTCAAAGTTTTTCTTGGAGTACAGGAAGTGAGTATAATCCACCCCTTCACCAGGCATGAATTAAACATGATATTGACAAATATTAACACGTGTAACTTTTTAAAATTCTATTTTTTTTTTTTTTAATATCAGCACTTTTTAAAAGAGTAAATAACTGTAAGCAAAATTCTCCTTAATTAATGCTGACTTAATTATTCTGAGAAAAATCAAGGCACACAAACACATATATATGTGTGTGTGTGTCTGTGATATTTTCTTTTTTGTTGCTAAAAACAGAAGATTAAATTACCTTTATTCCAGTTAACATCACGTTAGACTGATTTAATCAATGAAGGGTAGAGGGACAAAATCTCGCACGAGTTTAGTAGAGCCGAAAAGCTCCGACAGCATTACTTCATTGATTAAATCAAGTCGTGCATGATCTTAACTAGACTGACAGTTATCCCCAAGTAATTTAATCTCTTTAAATAAATATCTCTCCATAATTAAAATGGATCTTGACTTAAATCAATTTTTTTTCTTTACAAAGTTCGGAATATAAATTAAGCTAATTAATAAAAACTTTATGTTTAATTATCGAATCTCCGTGTATATAATAATATTTGAAGTCGGTTAGCAACAATTATCAGGATGAGGTATATACTGATAACAAAGAAGAAACTGAAAAACTGGGAGAAGCCTCTCCTGATGTTTTCCATCCCCCAGTGCTCTCTATTTTGTTTCCATCCCTCCTAGTGCTCTCCATTTTCCTTTCCATCCCTTCTAGTTCTCTCTAGTTTTCTTTCCATCCCTTCTAGTGCTCTCCATTTTCCTTTCCATCCCTTCTAATGCTCTCTATTTTCCTTTCCATCCCCCAGTGCTCTCTATTTCCTTTCCATCCCTCATAGTGCTCTCTAGTTTTCTTTCCATCCCTTCTAGTGCTCTCCATTTTCCTTTCCATCCCCCAGTGCTCTCTATTCCTTTCCATCCCTCCTAGTGCTCTCTATTTCCTTTCCATCCCTCCTAGTGCTCTCTATTTCCTTTCCATCCCTCCTAGTGCTCTCTATTTCCTTTCCATGCCTCCTAGTGCTCTCTATTTCCTTTCCATCCCTTTTAGTGCTCTCCATTTTCCTTTCCATCCCGCAGTGCTCTCTATTCCTTTCCATCCCTCCTAGTGCTCTCTAGTTTTCTTTCCATCCCTTCTAGTGCTCTCCATTTTCCTTTCCATCCC